TGAAGATAAAATTCAAAACAGCATTCTCTGTGTTTCACATTTGCTGCGAACAGGCACGGCAACTTTTGTTTGTTCCATGCCATGGCGGAATTATACCAGGTGAAGAAGGAAGATGTTGACACAGCCTTATTTGAAAAATTGCCTTTAACTTAATTTGACTATAAGACAGCCGAATGTCAGAAAATAAAACGAGAAAGCTGCTTTATTACTTCATCTGTTTAGTGCGCCATGGTTACATGCAAACATTTATATATAACTGTATATAGAACACAAAAATAAAAAATAAAACCCAGTAGTAAAATTTACTGGTCACAACTACATACGGTCCACAAAAACACACAATTAATAACAAATTTCTCAACCATATTACATATTAATATATTTAAATATAAACTAATCTTCAAATATTCAAAATGCCAACTAAACAAAGCCCCAAATTTATTTCCAATATTCCAAGGAAATCAACTCCCGCCAAAATACTTGAACAGATTTCGACTTCTACCGAAGCAAAAAACTTTAATATCGAAATTGATGGCTTCATGAGATATTGTGCCAGACTCACCTCTTCTCGCATAGAGGAATTCACAGAGTCGGCTTTCGAAATAAAGGGAAAAGCTATTGACAATCTCTGGGCGCGATTACAAGCCGCATATGACTCACTTTTCCTAAAAGATGAGGAAGACCTTCCATATAATTTTTTGGCGTTGGCAGAAGGCAAGTATCAATTTAGTATTGATACTTACTTATTTATTTATTTATTTATCTAACCGGCCAATTTGGTTTTTGATAAAAAAATTCATACTAATTAATTCGAATGCGAGAAAGCTGAATTTGAAGTAAGATTTCGAAAAAAGTCCATAGTTTGCCAGCTAGGGCCGAAAACCCCCACCCCGCCTCTAGGCAGACTTGCCTGGAAACGGGAACTTGAAAAGAAAAAGAACAAGTTTTTACAAATTTTTATTGTTGGAAAACTTTGAATGAATATTGAACACGGTGGATATTATTTGATATTATTGCTTATGGAACGGTTGGAAACATTTATTTTTTCCCAATAAGCTTAAATTAAGTTTACATTTTGTGCAAACTACTTGAGTTTCTGATTTACAACCAGGCATTTTGAACATTCTTTACAGGTATATGACCAATACCATTTTATCTAATATCAACCGGTGGTACGTAAGTTTTCTTGTTTGACTTAAATTGCGCACTTGGAGAGGCACTACACCTTTTCCAACTGTATTTCAGAGAAACCTAAATGTATTTCAGAAAACCACAAATTTATTTCAGAAAAGCTCAAATGTGTTTCAGGAAAGCGTAAATGTGTTTCAGAAAAACTCGGATTTGTTTCAGAAAACCGCAAATGTGTTTCAGATATGCAATATGCCTTTCAGAAAAACACAAACCCATTTCAGAAAAGCTTAATTTTATTTCAGAAAACCGCAAATGTATTTCAGAAAACCACAAATCTTTTTCAGAAAAGCTCAAATGTGTTTCAGAAAAGCGTAAATGTGTTTCACAAAATCACAAATGTATTTCAGAAAAACTTAAATGTATTTCGGAAAAACACAAATGTATTTCAGAAATCCATAAAAGTATATACTTTAGAAAATGCAATTACTAATGTATGTAGTATGCATGGAGATAAACTTAAAAAAACAAATATTTTATAAAATACGCAGTTAATATTCAATAGTAATTTTATGCGGTAACGAGTAATAAATTTATTAAATGGAATTAAAGGATAATTGCACGATTTGCATGATGGACATGCGCAGCAAATCAGTCGTGCGTTGTCGTCGTCGCATGTGGACATTTATTGCACGCAAAATGTAATGGACCTGTCATTGTAGAAGAAAAGTGTCCAATATGTCGAGGAAATATTGAAGGTAAGTACTCGTACATATAATAACATATACATCTAAATAAATAAATAGCATTTTATATTTATCTATTTATGCATATAAAAAATTTTTGTGTGCATATAACGAGGTTCTGGAAAAAACTCATTACAGGAAATATAACAACGAGGACAGATTGCGGATTGTTGAGGCCGCTAATAAGGGAGAAGACTGGTGCAGTTTAGCATCATCTTTAGATATAGTTTATAAAACTGCTTACACATGGGTGCAATCCGGCAGAGTCGTGACTCAGAAACGAGGTGGAGAGAATGAAAAGAAGCTGACTGAAAACGAGGTAGCTGTAATGGTTCGTTGGGTGGAAGAAGACTGTACTGTCACCTTAAAGCAGTTAGTCTCCAAAGTGCAAACGTATTTGCACATCGACCGCTGCAAACTACTTAGAGGGTAAATTATTCACCCTCAAAAGCGTGCACCATATACCAACGACGATGAACACGTTGGAAAACAAGCAGAAACGTTCCGAATTTGTATCAGCTTTGAGTGGTTTTATTCAGCAAGGAAAGTAAATAGTTTACATTGATGAAACCAATTTTAACTTGTTTTGTCGTTGTGCAAAAGGTCGCGCACGATCTGGGACGCGAGCAGCAGTAATACTGCCGCCATCAAGAGAACCAAATGTACATTTAATCGGTGCTGTAAGCGTAGCGGGTGTGTTATCAATGGAAACGCGACGCGGCTCTTTTAAAAAAGAGAGTGCTGGAGAGTGGGTGAAGGGGATCCTCGAGAAGTTGGACCGGTTTGGGAAATAATTTGGCGGACTTAGTTATTGTGTGCGACTATGCACCTTGCCATGCTGGACTGGAGCAAGTTGCCGCCAATAATGGATCGGCTACACTTTTGCGTCTTGGGCCATACTCGCCAATGCTCAACCCCATCGAAAACGTATGGGCGAAAACAAAAGCTTACGTAAAAACGCATATTTCACTTCCCGCTGTGAATGGACCTGGAGTGGTCGAAAGGCGTTTGCAGTACTTGGAAGGCTTAATTCACGAAGCAAAAGAAACCATTGCTACTGCGGATTGTGCTCGCGCTATAAAACACTCATCCATTTTTTCTCTGATGCTTTGGCATTACGCGACATGCCTGTAGGAATGTAATTCTTTTACTTATTTTTTAATAAATTCGCACACTCACAAGTACGGTTTGGTCGTTGCTTATATAATTCTCACTTAATTGGGAAGACGATGGGGATAAAAATTTTGGGAACATACATACATTTGTATTTTTCTGAAATACATTTGTGATTTTCTGAAACACATTTCAATTTTTCTGAAATACATTTCCGCTTTTCTGAAATAGATTTGTGGTGTTCTGAAATACATTTGTGGTTTTCTGAAAAAAACTTGAGCTTTTCCAAAATAGGTTTTCGTTTTTCTGAAAGCCATATTGAATATCTAAAATACATTTGCTGTTTTCTGAAACACATTTGAGTTCTTCTGAAACACATTTGCGTTTTTCTGAAAGGAATATTGAATATCTGAAATACATTTACGCTTTTCTGAAACACATTTGAGTTTTTCTGAAATAGATTTGTGGTTTTCTGATATACATTTACGTTTCTCTGAAATACAGTTGGAAAAGGTGTAGTTGGTCGCCCCACTGTTCTCTTCCAAATTTTTTGAGAATTGCAAAGCACATTAGCTACTTCAACTCGAAAATCAGGCAGCTTCATATGAGAAATCAGCCATTTCCACAAGATACGCAGTGTCCACTTTCATCCGAATACGATAGCGTCCTAATAAACCGTCCATGAGATCAACTCCGCCCATGTGATAGTTGTACTCTTTTACAATATTGGGGCAGTCGATTACAACGTAGTGTTTATTCTTCCTATCGTACCTCGTTGTTTTGCTTGGCGGAGCATTCGCAGATGCAGCTCTTAACGGTCTTACCCCTGCGTATGTTGAAGCTAAGCGCACAGCTTTTGTATCTCTCCATAATACAGTAGATATTTATACACCAAAAGCGGTCCGCACAAACTCTTCCGAATAACCTCGATCTGTTTTGCATACATCTTTATCTTTAGACAATTTGCAGTTCGGAACTCGATTAGCTCAAATTGTACCAAGCGATTGAATTCCCCTACTTCGCAAGTAAACCAAAAGTGGGAGCGATGTGTAAAAATTATCGAAGTACAGGATGTGATTCTTAAAATCAGTGATGGTTTGTGATAAACGAAGGCAGGTGGGGTGGTGAGCTCCCTGATAAGCAAAAATTCTTCAGGTAAAAGTGTCACCGTTTTTGAAATATTTACATTTTTTGAATTTAAAAAAATCGTGCCTTTTCCTGTATTTTCTTTAACTGCATCTACAAACCAGGCTATACTTAGTAAATTTTTTATGTAAAATACTTTCAGATAGTTGCTTCTCCATACTCAAATGCAATATAGTTAAAATATATTAAGGAACCATCATAAAATTAGGACTATTTTGGGATTTTTAACTTTTTAATATTTTCTTCCCCAACTTTGACTATCTCTGGTGAAAAAATATGTACTGAGCTATAACTTTACATTACATAAAAAAATTGCTCATTTAGTAAAGATTTCAGAAAAGTTGTCACTTTTACTGGTTTGAATAGAAAAAAAAGTTATAGCCGCTTTTGTGGGCAAAGGACTGAGACAAGAATGTATTTAATAGATTTAAATTTAAGTTGGTCTTGTTACCGACCAACAACATGCTAAATAGTACAAAGGTACATTATTACCACCCTGGTGCGAAATAAAGTCAATTGACATTATTACCTTTTTAAAAACTAAATAAAAGCCATTGACATTATTTCTCTTTCAAACATTAAATTTGCTTAGCTTCGCGGCGGCCCGCGTCAGCGCTACGTTATTATAACTAAGTACAAGTTTGAAGGTGCTAAAAAATTCCGTTGATTCTATAAAGTTTTGTTATTGCGAGGTCTAGATACATTTAAGGAATAGTAATTTTTTATTTTTTCCAACAATATTCAGCAATACAAACATATAAAAAATCTGAATGCAAACAATCAATAAATAAATATTAATATTAAAGTGTATTAGAAATGACTAGCATTAGCCCAGTAAAAATCGAAATTTGAAAATTTGATGAGTAGTGTAATCTATACATCTTCTTCGTCTTCGACCCGATAGGAATTTTCTGCATCATCCTCTGCTGAATCTAAATCACTAGATGCTCGTGAATCCATGTCTACAAAATTCAAACAAATTGATTAAAAAAACTTAATATTTTTATTTTCAAATTTTCTGTTAAATCTGCATACCTGATTCTCTGTTCCTGATCCTCGGTGTTTTCAAGTACATCTGCGACTAATTCTGGTGACTTATCTCCATTAAACCAGACAAATTCATACTTTTTGTTATTAAGAGACCAGCCATACTGCTTTGGTGATTTGTTAGTTGGCTGCTGTAAGTTTGCGTTCAGCCATATACTGGTAATGTATGAGCTTCGCAATAACTGCTGTTGAACTTCTGCTGATGCGTCACAATAGCAAATATTTTTTCTAAACATGTCTTGAGTGTCTTTTGCTTTATAAGCTTCATTGAAAAGTTCCAAGCGAGCTTCATTAACCGTATCGGCATTTTTTAAACCATACATCCGGCAAACACATTGTACCAAAACTGGAAACACCGTTGAAGTATCAACATTATCCTTGCCTAGGTTTTCAAATGCTTTTTGATACGTGTCGAACGCCTTCAAAATCTTAAATGGTTTATTTTTGAAGTGAAACTTCTTTAGCGGCGGTTGGTTGGTTGAGAGTAAACTCGAAAATTCAACGGAAATTGCACACGGAAATGGTGCAACGGAAATGATGCAAGGGAAGTGGTGCAACGGAAATGGTGCAACGGAAACGGTGCAACGGAAATGGTTGGGGCTGAAACAATTGTGTCTTGTGTGTATGCATATGGTATACAACTAATAAAAGGTTAAAGAATAAGACTTAGAAAAAGACCAATACAATAATGAAAGTAAAGGTGAGTACGTACATACATAGATACAGAAAAGGATAAAGACAAAGGTCAAAATAGAAGCAAAAACAAAGATGCGTAAAGATAAAGGCAAAAATGAAGACCAAGGTAAATTTAAACACTTTACTTATATATATAAGGGCAAAGGTGAAGGGGAATATGCAGATGAAGAAAATGATAAACATTAAAGTAAAGACAAAGAGGAGGATGAGGATACCGATAAAAGTAAAGATGAAGATAGGGGAAGAAAGATTAAAATAAAGTTAATTGAACAGGAAAGGATGTAGAGAGACACAGAGACTCAATCTGGCAACTATTTTGGAAATTTAGAGATTTTGGGATTCTCGAGACTTGTCGGTGCAATAATCGACATTTTTATCGGTTTTGTTATCGATATTTATAGATTTTGTTACCGATTTTGTAATCGATATTTATCGATTTTGCTATTGATATTTATCGATTTCGTTATAGATATTTATCGATTTTGTTGTCGACATTTATCGATTTTGCTATCGATATTTATCGATTTTCTCAACGATGTTTACCGATTTTGTTATCGATATTAATCGATTTTGTTATCGATGTTTATTGATTTTGTTATCGATATTTATCGATTTTAATATCGATATTTATCGATTTTGTTACCGATATTTATCGATTTTGTTATTAATACTTATAGATTTTGTTATCCGATATTTATCGATTTTGTTATCGAAATTTAAGGATTTTGTTATCGATATTTATCGATTTTGTTATCGATTAATTATCGATATTTTTATAGATTTTGTTATCAATATTTTTATCGAGTTTCTAATCAATTTTGCTACCAATATTATAACCGATTTTGCTATATTTTGTTGGATGTAACTATCGATTTTGTTATCGATAGAGTGTAAAGATAAAAATGAAGATAAAGGAAAACAGAATAAGATAAATGTAATTACAACGAACAGTAGTAGAGAGAGGGATCTACATAGGTAGAAAAAAGACAAAAAATATAACCTTAAGCAAAAGCAGATGAATGTATGTATGTACATATTTATGTATCGTAAGTTTCACTTCTCCAGTATGGCCCAGGCGCACTTACTTTTTTCCTTACGGAAAAATGAAGGGTTGTAATCACATGCCGTAAGTGCGTGAAAACCAGTCAGAGCTCTTGACAATGACGTTCCCAGTTTTGCGTATAATTTTGTGACATCCAGGTACCGTTGGGCATTGCCAACACCGATCTCCATCCATATTTTATGAGTGATTTAGAGGCACCATATTACCCAAAAGAATCACTAAGACATCTGTATCTGAACATCGAATTAGTATATTACAAGGTTCATCAATTTTTGAAGCATGAAAAATAATTTTTGTGTCTGCCTCTTCGTGAGCTTGACATGAGAGATGATAATTCGGGGAGCGTATTACTTTACCATTTTCCGTTTTAAAGCTGTAACAAAAATTGATGTTCACAGTTTTTTCTCCTATGAACTGAGCAAACTCATCGCTAGCCCAATGAGTTAAAAGAAATTGAACGAGGGCCTTTTTAAAATTATAATTTTTTTAGCTCCTTCATAAAATCGGTAGGTCGGGCTTGTTCTGGTCCTGATATAGTAGGTAGGCCTACTACACACCTTACTAAATTAATAAAAAAAATTAACAAAGTTTCATCAACCCTGCACACTTCTTATTGTTATTTTTTTCTTTGGGTATGCAGTTTTATAACCAAATCATTAAATGGTTGTTTCAATTAATAAGATACTAAATAATACACATCAGATATTCAATATTTTTATTAGAAAAATTAATAACCAAATAAATTTAACCGCAAGCCATACGAAATCAAGGCGCGCGAAAAGGACATTTAGATCGTTCTGCCAGGTAGTTAATACCTTCGCCCAAGTTTCCGATCCCCTGATGTTATAGGGCGGAAAGGCCGAGTTGTACATACATAGGTGACTATTTATGTATTTTTATTTTTACATTTTTTTTCTTCGTATACTGGGTTTGGGTACCTACGAAGTTATGCGTCGAAGAAATCGATAACTTGCGTAATATTAACGTTTACATGCGTATTTTTATTTATGTAGGGCGAATTTGATGCCACGCACGGTATCTCTAATTTCGTAAACATAGATGATAACATGATTGTGGTGATGAGTAGAAATTAGTCTGTATGTAGTTTTTATACAGTATATTTTGCTTTGCTGCCTGTATGCTTAAGTGCACATTTAAGATACCTACACCAAAATGCGCATCAGAGGCATTATTTTTAACATTTATAAGGAAACTACTCCGATGGATGCATTCAACATACCTGCACATCGGCGTTACCTGCCTTAAAAATTGTGCACCTAGTATCAATTATCAAAGAAAGTATTACGTTTACCTGCACTGGCCCTACAATTACCTTATTTTACAAGCTTTTATTTATTTTGTTCATCTCGCAGAACAACGAAAATTGTTATCATTTTATGTAGTTATATAGATAATTAGATACCATTCGGTAAAAATTTCGCTTGCAGTAATTTCTACGTGGTAAGTGCTTCTCCATTATTTGGTTTCATAGGGATTCGGATGCCTTTGTCATTGAAGTAGTAAAGAAAATTCGTTTAAGTGCCTTTTTCGGTTAAGTGCACAAGTTTTTCGTGCATAGAAGGATGTGCAGCTAAGCAAAATATACTGTACTTCTAATTTCACAGCTTAAAAGTTCAATTATTAAATGTATTACATAATGTGTTGGAGTTTATGGTGTGCATAATGTTGGAAGAGCATATATAAAAGGTGTGTTGGGCTCCTCATGTTTATGCATCTATACATTGTTATAGATCTTGATTTCTTTGCTCACATCAGTGAGCCAAATTGTATCAATCAATATACCATATATTTGTGTTCATATCATAAGCGGTATTAGGCCTAATTGCAGGTGCCTTATTTAAGTAGATATTGCTTATTAACTATAAAATTTCATTTTCAGATCATATGTATATATATTCAAACTGCTGATATTGCCATTTAAATAACAGTCAGAAACTCAACTCAATTAAATTTTCATTTGAAACTTGCCCTAAGAGTAATTGGTGTTTATATGAAAATTAACACCTTGACCAGCCTCCAAAAAGAAAAGTTTCCCTCTATTTAACATGTGGTGGCGTTCCTTGCTATCGTTAATAATTTTTCTTATGATTACGGTAGGTGTCGCTGATCTTGACAGCTGTGCTTTGCTAAGAGATGGGAAATTGCGTTTTGTAGCTGGCACTTAATTTACCTACGTATGTATTTATATAAATGTGCCTACAGACCAAATAGAGGTTTATACATTTTTATATTTGGCTAAGAAATGTATTGAAATGGTTTTTCAAGAAAGGTTGCAAAGTTATATTGCAAATGTGCTCAAATTGGGTTCTTGTACCGGAAGTACTTTCAACTTAAGCAAGTCTGAAAAAGGTATAATGGAACCTATTTTGCCATCACTAGTTACACTGCAGTGGCAATTTCCTGAATGACATAAATATCATTCAGTAATCTAACCACCACGAGGACGTGCTATATGTGAATTGTAAGTAATCGACATTTTTATCTGTTGTGTTATCGATATTTATAGATTTTGTTACCGATTTTGTAATCGATATTTATCGATTTTGCTATTGATATTTATCGATTTCGTTATTGATATTTATCGATTTTGTTGTCGACATTTATCGATTCTGCTATCGATATTTATCGATTTTGTTATCGATATTAATCGATTTTGTTATCGATATTTATCGATTTTGTTATCGATATTTATCGATTTTAATATCGATATTTGTCGATTTTGTTATCGATATTTATCGATTTTGTTATCGAAATTTAAGGATTTCGTTATACTGTTTTGTGATATTNTGTTATATTGCTTTGTGATATTTATCGATTAACTATCGATATTTTTATAGATTTTGTTATCAATAATCAATTTTGCTACCAATATTATAACCGATTTTGCTATATTTTGTTGGATGTAACTATCGATTTTGTTATCGATAGAGTGTAAAGATAAAAATGAAGATAAAGGAAAACAGAATAAGATAAATGTAATTACAACGAACAGTAGTAGAGGGAGGGATCTACATAGGTAGAAAAAAGACAAAAAATATAACCTTAAGCAAAAGCAGATGAATGTATGTATGTACATATTTATGTATCATAAGTTTCACTTCTCCAGTATGGCCCAGGCGCACTTACTTTTTTTCCTTACAGAAAAATGAAGGGTTGTAATCACATGCCGTAAGTGCGTGAAAACCAGGCAGAGCTCTTGACAATGACGTTCCCAATTTTGCGTATAATTTTGTGACATCCAGGTACCGTTGGGCATTGCCAACACCGATCTCCATCCATATTTTATGTGAGTGATTTAGAGGCACCATATTACCCAAAAGAATCACTAAGACATCTGTATCTGAACATCGAATTAGTATATTACAAGGTTCATCAATTTTTGAAGCATGAAAAATAATTTTTGTGTCTGCCTCTTCGTGAGCTTGACATGAGAGATGATAATTCGGGGAGCGTATTACTTTACCATTTTCCGTTTTAAAGCTGTAACAAAAAT